GATCAGTAATGATAAATTTAGAATAAAATATAGAGTGTATAGAATATGCTCGTCCTTGAGCTCTAGGTTGAAATCTTTTTATGGTTGTGCCTTCATCTACCTTAGCTTCACTTATAAATAAATCTTTTTTTTCTGAAGTCTTAGGTTATGATTTACATTAGATGCAGATATTAATTGTGCAATAGGTTGACATGCTCGGTACGGCATAAATTCTAAAATCATAAGTGCTTTTTCGTATGAGCAACCACGGATTTGGTTAATGCAAAAATGAAAATTTCCATAGCAATCAAAACTTTTCCAGTTTAAGCCACGAGGATGCCAAATTCAGGACAATATCTTGCTGATAAATGAGGTCATTAAAATCATAAAATGTCACGACAATCTAAGCATAATGCAACCATTATCTTTGTAGACTTTGAAAAAGCGTATGATCGCATTGATTGGTTCTTCCTAGACAAATGTATGGAGATAATAAGCTTTGGGCCGACCTTTAGAAGGTGGATTGAGATCCTACATCAAAATGCCACAACGACGATCCACATGAATGAAAGACTGACACCTGCCATCCACCTGGAGCGGTCGGTGCGACAAGGGGACCCCATTGCCCCCTTCCCTTTCGTCATCATCATGAAGGCCCTAACAGTGAATTTGAGGGCCCATAAGAACCTCTGTAAAATACAGATCTCCTCCATCCCAGGGGATGCCATTCCGGTTTGTTCACTCTTTGCAGATGACCTTACCATAATGGCAGATGCATCCCAAGAAAACATGTTGGAGGTCCAAACACTAATGGACCGTTTTCAGATATGACAGTCAACTGGGGCAACAAAACACAGAGATGGTGGATACACTTTCAAGGAGGGGGGGGGGGGTCGGAACCCCCCAGTATTAGATGGATGCCTAAAGAAGCCATAATCAGAATATTGGGGTTTCATATGACAGCAGAGGGGCGGCCACCCTTGAATGACAAGTGGCTCACTCAACCGGTCCTCGAAAAATTGACCCATTGGAAGGACCGATATACCTCACTAATGGGTTGCTCTTTGGTGATCAATAACGTACTCCTGGCAACCCTCTGGTACAAGACGACAATCTGGACTCTCAGCAAACTTGCAGCCACTTCCCTTCAGAGATAGGTGGTGGCCTTCTCATGGAGAGGAAACCATGAGTGCCCTAGAGTTATTAGCAGAGTGGCTTGGTTGTCAGTCATACAACCTAAATCTAGAGGAGGATTGAGGATTATCGACCCAACTACCCAAGTGATGGCCCTAGCCCTCCAATAGGTGAAAGGTTTGTTGTTCTCTACGCAGGCACCATGAAAACCCCTGGCATTGCAGCAAATCATTAGGCTGGCGCCACTTGCCCCTCCTGAGGTCGATCTAGAGACATGTCTTGAGGACAGATAGTGGACTATACCCAGGAAACCAACGCGGGGCAGCAATGACGAGGAGTCCGATAGATAGGCATCCGGACATGACTTAAAAAAGGACCCCCTTTGGACCACCATAGTGAGGACATGGCGCAAGCTGCCCTTACTTGATAAAGTCTCACCCAAGCGCTGAGAAGAAGTGGCTTGACAACCTCTTTTTGGAAACCGATGTATAACAAACCAGTATAGCAGGGTCCTCCACAACAACAAGAACCCCTGGAGCGGTTGGGTCAAGCATGGGATCTTGAGAATCAAAGACATTTGGGATCAAGAAACCAAGGACTGGTTGTTGGAGACCGAATTGAGGGAGAAACTGAGACATTGTCATAAGGTGGGAGAGGCGCTGGAAACGGTTATCTTTGCTATCCCCCTGGATTAGGTCCGGATCCTTGGGAAAGGGTCGTCGGTGGAGGAAGGGGATTGGGTAGGGTTCTGGGGGACAGAAGGGGCGATTGGAAACATAGTATACACCCAACCAACGGGTGTGGGGGAGGAACAGGAAGTGGTTGGCAATCGGTTCATGATAAGGGTAGATAGCAGTTTGAAACGGATAAACCAAAAGAAACAGGATGGTACCCAGGGTCTGGGGTTTTCCATATTTGCGTCCTCAAGGAGAAAGACCAATGGTGGGCATACAAACCAAATAAACCAATTCAGGAACTCTTCATGGATCCCAATGAATGGGTATGGACTCTTCAATATGGTAGGGGAAGATTCAGGGAAAGGCGGCTGCATACGCTTTCGGCCAAATCCACTTGCCAGATGCTGCGACCAAGAGTTAACTTGAGGGATATGGTTGAGTCGCGCTGGATGAAACATCTTAACATAGGGAGGGATACACTGCGATCAGTAAAGTGGTTTAAGGCAAATAAGGCTATGCCATCAAAACTAGCCTCGTTACAATGGCACGTGGAACACAGGTGCCTGCCGACCAATGACTGGTTAATAGACAAAACGCACCTAGAACAAAAAGGGTTGGTGCTTCCCTGGTGCAGACTATGTACATAATCTTTTCCATCTAGGAAATGGCCTGTGACCATAGAACACATGTTTCTGCAGTGCCCTTCAACGATATGGCTGTGGAGGTGGTGGGACCAACTCTGGCGACAAATGGGCGCTTCACAGCCTTGCCCGTGGGACTGGAGGGCTCTCCTCTGCGAAGCATGGGCCCCGGCGCAAGCCACCACCTTTGAGGAGAATATGTTTAAAGTGGGGCGCTGAGCCATTATCTGGCTATCTGGTGGCAATGGTGCAAACTGGAAATAGAACGGGTTTGTCGGGATGACACATAGTTCATCAAGTCAATTAAGGAACAAATACAAGAAGACATCACTATCCAATGGGAAAGTGTAAAACAGAAGATCACATTTCTACACTCCAAACACGAAATCAGACAAAATATTAAAAGCTTCAGCAAAGACTGGCTGGAGGGGAACAAGGGGGTTGGATTGCAAAGGTTGCGTGGGGAAGGGAAGGGAGAGGAGGGTGACGAAGTAGGGGACGGAGAAAGGGACTACCATCTATGCTTTCTGGACTGGACAAAGATCGACCCCTCTATCCCGTTTCGACCTTTTTCAGATTTCGTTGAATTTTTCCCACCTTGACCCCTGGCTTTGGTGGACATGGAATGGTATGGGGGAAGTAGTGGGTAAATGGCAGATCAGGGGTATGAGGGGCAAGGAGGTAGGGGGCTGGGCAAAGGTAGGTCTAGGTAGGGGAAGGAAGCCCAGGCAGGTTGGGAGATGCCGGAGACCTTGGGGTCAGGTTCATTTGGCTGCGGGTGATGTACTTACAGGAATCTCTCTTCTGTTGAAAGGGATGCTGGACCCGTTTTCCAGCAGTTGATGCTCCGCACCAATAGATGGAGCCTCCCTCACACACACACACACACACACACACACACACACACACACACACACACACACACACACACACACACACACAACCTCCTTTCATAACGTGCAAGTGTGTCGTTAAACCACCAGTGCATCCAAGCCTCTTTCGTATGAGGCGGATTCCCACTGCACGGCAAGCATTGCCTAAACGCCACTGCGGCGTTCTTCTTCTAGTTTTAGTTGGTGTCGCCAGCCATTTCGTCCAGTTGCCCCGAGCCTCCGATTTTGTCAGAGAGGCTCAATCGTGATTCTCAACTGGGATGGGGCCATGTACTGGTGGTTTAGGGCACACGGGGATGTGGCCCGCCCCCGCCACCACCACCACCGGACCCTCACCCCCGCCCCCG